TTCTGACATTCCAAGAACCGAGTTTCCATTCATTGTCCTTATTTCGTTGCCGTTGGGTCAGTTGCCGAAAATTCCGTTCGTTTTTTCTTCTTCTTACTTCATTTTTATGAGTACTTTTATAATTCAGTATGCTACCGTACCAGGGTCGCGATACCTACATCGTGTTGATGAGGCTGCCATCTTAGGTTTAGTTGACACGATTCAACATTTCTTGTTTCAGCCGCTGGATGCGAGATAGACGCTGTTTGAGCCGCACCTCCTGGTGGACAGACGCTCGGGTTATTGTGTAGATGGGGCTGCCATCTTGGATTTAGCTGACACAATACAGCATTTATTTTTCAGCTGCTGGATCCCAGACAGACGCTGTTCGAGCCGCACCTCCTGGTGGACAGACGCTCGACGATTCGCACCTCCTCAGCCTTGCTATCATCACGATATGAGTTAATCGTGATGACATTGTCCACACCCCGCTACCAGCACATATATGGGCATATACTGGCTGTCATCATCCGACACGTGGAAGCGTGAGGTAGGAGCTTGTGAAGACCAGAGCTATGTTGGACGCTCTTTCCCCTGTGGTCCTCACCATTTTGGGGTGCTAGTATGTTCGTGGTATGTTCGTCCAGAAATCGAAGTGAAGCGTGAAGCCTGAAGATGAAGCCGACGCGACATGGAACGCGGGAGACGCCAAGGCGAGGGCCACTATCGGCCTACTTATTGAAGATAATCAGCACGAGCTGATCCGCGCGACACGAACGGCCAAAGACGCCTGGACGGCGTTGCAAAACCACCACCAAAAGACGAGCCTGACGTCAAAAGTGTCGCAGCTAAAACGCATTTGCGACAAGCGCTTTACCGACGGCGACGACATGGCGGAGCATTTATTCGAGATGGAGGAGTTATTTTCGCGTTTGGCAAACACCGAACAGGAACTCGCGGAGAATCTTACTGTCGCGATGATTTTGAGAACCGCAACCGCCCTCGAAAACTGGTCGGATGTCGACCTCACGCTGGAGCTAGTCAAAAGGAAGCTCCTGGACGAGGCAGCAAAGCGACAGGGTGCTGAATCGAGCTCGGCGCTGCGGGTCGGCCATGACAGCAAGAAGAAGAAGAAGATAATTGAATGCCACTATTGTCGAAAGCTGGGGCATGAACAAAAGAAGTGTCGCAAGTTCGCTCGTGATTCGGAAAAGGAACCTCAACAAGGAAAAGCCACCAGCAAGAAGGAAACAATTTCGTTCGCGCTAGCTGCAGGAAGAGCACCGGATGGTGAAGCTGTCAAGCCGTGGGTCGTCGATTCCGGTGCTACACGGTACACCGTAATGGATCGGAAGCTTTTCCGGGAATTACGTGAAAGCAAAGTTAAGTTCGTCAACCTGGCGGACGGAAAACAAGCGGAGGTGCGCGGTGAAGGTTGCTGCGTCGTCGAGTGCACCGATGAGCATGGGTATCGTCGTGGAATGGACATCAGCTTTGCGGTCTACGCCCCCACCCTCTCGATGAACCTGCTTTCCGTTCCGGCTCTCGTTCAAAAAAAAAAGTTGTCTTCGACGCGACCGGCTGGCGGATTCTTCGTAGAGACGCCACCATCGCCGTGGCGCGTTTAAAGCAGGGCTATACGAAATAAAGCAACCGGAAGACGTCGTAATGGTGGCAAGCGGCCACCATAACAAGGACTGCCTGTAAGTTTGGCATCGCGCATGACATGGCATTTGGCGAGGGACGAACTAGTGGACGGTCTGACGCTCCACCGGTGCAGCATCGACGAAAAGTGTGAATGCTGTTTGCAGGGTAAGACGCCACGCATCCCTTTTCCAAGTGAATCTCATTTCAGATCGAAAGCACCAATGGAACTGATGCACACCGACGTCTGCTGCCCGGTTGAGGTGCCATCGGTTACGGCGGTTACGGGTACTTTATGACCATGATCGACGACCACAGCCGATTTTGCGTCCTCTATCTATTGAAAGAGAAGTCCGAAGTCGCCACAAAAATCGAGGAGTACGTTGCCTACACCAAGACATTTTTTGACCAAAAGCCGAAGGCTATCCGCTCTGATCAGGGCGGCGAGTACAGCAGTAAGCGGTTACGTGCGTTCTACAAGCGAGAGGGAATATCGGCGCAGTACACCGCCGGTTATAGCCCCCAGAAAAACGGCATCGCGGAGCAGAAAAACCGATCGCTCATCGAAATGGTACAATGCATGCTTTTCGATGCACAGTTAGAGCAACGCTACTGGACAGAGCCGTCTCGAATGACCTTAATTCTCCTCTACCAGGGGAACAGTTTAAAGAGACGGTAATGGCTACTGGGCAGAAGCGCTGACCACAGCAGTCTACTTGCAAAACATTCTGCCAACGAAGCTTCTCGACGTCACACCATTTGAGCTTTGGACCAGTGCGAAACCGAAGGTCGATCACCTCAAGATTTTCGGCTGCAGTGCTTGGGTTCACATCCCAAAGGTAAAGAGGAAGAAACTGGACACCACAGCACCACGTGGGTTACTCCTCGGAGCATAAAGTTTATCACTTCCTGGACAGAACCACGTGAAAAATCTACATTAGCCGGGATGCCAAGTTCGTTGAAGACAACGTGAAGAAGTATCCAACGGACGTTTCGACGGACGCATCCATCAAAGGTAAGAAAGGCGATGAAGTTCTCTTTGATATAGGTCGTCTACAGAATCGACCAGTCGAACCGGAGGCTCAACCCGAAGTCGAACCTGAAGCTCAACCCGAAATTGAACCCGAGGCTCGTCAGGAAGAAGAGCCTGAAGCGGAAGATCCTGAATGCTACGATACAGCGGATGAAGAAACGAATCAATCGGACGGTGATTTTGAGGGATTCAGTGACATGGAGTTTCCACACCTCGGAGAACCGGGGCGATCCACGAGTCCAACGAAGGGTGTCCCGCCTCAACGATTCAGCGACGTCACCGGTGTAACGAAACATGTCAAAGCTACTCCGACGCAGTCAAAGGCGGCGGTCTGGCAGACCGCGCAAGTGGACGTATAAGAAGAAGGAAGACGAAAACGGGCAGGTGGTGCGGCACAAGGCGAGAAGGCAGGAAGTTTGCGCTACGTTGCGGTGAACACACGGCCGGATATCTGCGTGGTCGTATCCCTGTTTGGAAGAAAAGTCACCCACCCGACCAACCGAGATTGGACCGAAGCAAAAAGGGTTCTCCGCTACCTCAAGGCCACGAAGAATCATCGTTTGCAGCTGGGTTCCAGATCTGGTGAAACGGAATGCTTTGTGGACGCCGAATGGGCACGCGAAGAAGGTGATAGGAAATCACATTCCGGGTTCCTCCTGAAGTTCGGCGGTGGTCTCGTCGACTGGGGAACAGGAAAACAGTCGTGTGTCGCCCTGTCCTCGACGGAGGCAGAATTCGTCGCGCTGGCGGATGGTTGTCAGCAGCTCATGTGGTACCGGAAGTTGCTCAACGACATAAAGCAAGCCCCGCCCAATCCAATCATCGTTTGGGAAGACAATCAATCGTGCATAAAGATCTTCGAGTCGGAGCGTCTTGAACGGCGTTCTTAACACATTGATACCAAGTACGCCTACCCCAAAGACCTCCAACAGCAAAAAATCATCGAACTTCGCTACATGCCAACCGAGCGCATGGAGGCGGACCTCATGACGAAGCCGTTGGACCCAATCAAGCTGGAGAGGCACCGATCTGCCATCGGAGACATCCAACTGACAACGTTGAGGAGAAGTGACGGGCTACACAACCGTGTGGCACCGTTGTCAATTTAAACCACACAATTTCTTTGAGTGCAACATTTATATTTTATCTGATTTATCCCAGTTATCCACACTCAATAGGTCGTATGAATAAAAGCGTTTACTTTACTTTTCCCGTAAGAAAAGCACGGGAAAGTAAAGTAAACTCTTTTTATTCATACGGCCCAATGTAACACACACTGACACGCACACTACTTTGCTACCTCTCTGCTACGAATCTAAAACTGAATAAAGATCATTCCATAGTTGTCACCCTCGTGAACCGCACGCGTATTTTTCGCCACTGTCCAAGCCAGCCACTCTACATCAGAGGAGGAGTTCCTTTGCAGTACACGCATTTTAGTGCAGTAGTTGCACAGGCTTCTCCCCGTATTTAGAACAGCGTGTCTTACTGCCTCAGTGGGAGACCATGTGTCCCAACTGCTTACAGTTTTGGCAGTTCATGATCCGGGGCAATCGGCAAGCGCACAGGCAATCGAAGTTTTCCCTCCTCGATGTAGTGAGGAAGAGCTGAAATAGAAAAGGTCACACGAAACGAGTCTGTGAGGGTAAAACTCTGTTTAACCTCGCTGACGGATGCTGAGCTCAGTTTTTGGACATTCAGTAGCTTCACCGGGGGAAGCAAAGGGTTCTTGAAACGGTCAACCGCCTGCTTCACCAAGATCACGGGGGTCAGACTCGCTTCGGAAACCACACCTGCAGTGGAAGTGCACAGTATTATTTATGTTGTTTTTTCGCATCTGGAAGAAAACGTTGACATAGTTATGTCGAACGACTTCATGCCAAACGGCGCTCCCCCATTTTCTTCGCTGATTACCTTGGTATTCAGAGCAATTGCTGCAGCAACTCCAGAGCCTTGTTCAGATGATACAGTGTGATGCCGTCCGGGTTTCCTGAGTTGTCCATTAAAACCTGGAATATGACCTTGAGCTTTGGTCAGTTGACGTAATCGCCATCGAAGTTTGGAATCGTAGCTTGACACTTTCGTGTTCCAGCATCTGCTCATCCATAGTCGTGCGAACGTAGTTTTATCGGTGCTCAAATGCGACGTACGGATCCTCCTCCTCCTCCTATACCGGAAACGTTCATGGCAACCTTCAGCAACAGCTTGCTTACTTTAGCAATCCTCCTGACTTTCTTTTGAATAAGTAAAGAAAATAAACCTTCGCACATCATTAGAATCCATGCTTTCAAGCGAAACGATTTACTAAACGAACATTTGATCTTTCCTTCCAACCTTCCCCTAGGATTGCCTAAACGATCTTCAAGATGATGAAGACATTCCACCGATTGTTCCCATCGATGCGGATTTGGAACAGAGAATCGTCGGAAACCAATATTCCACCCGAGTACTTCCGAACGGCAAAACGCAAGTGGTACGTAAGGTAATTCTTTCCCGAGGCTCCACTACGATATGGACCGGAAATCCACGGGTGGTTCACACTACTCAAACTGGTCAGTCTCGGTTCATAAAGCCTGGACATGACGGTAAATCCACCGTGGCTAAAGCATCTGGCACTGCAGCGATAAGTGACGATTTGCTGACCGTTTCTTTAAATAGAGCTAAAACTACTAGAATGTACGGTCGATCTTCCGGCGCACAAAAGAGGTTCAACGAAGTTGGCGAGGTACTTTTCGAAGGACATTATGGTATTCTTGATCGGTCACTCAATGGTATGTTTTTTTTTCTAATTTCAGCTTAAGAATAACACCACCATAAAGAAAACGAAGACTAATGAACCCTTGGCTCCATTAGAAACGACAATTGTGGATACAGAGAAATATATAGAACCCGATGGACTTGATCAGGAGCAATCTCCTGCGGAAGATCCCATTGCGGTGGCGATTGAGCCACATCAAAACGTACAAAGTGATGATGGCGATGATGATGATGATTATGATGATGATGAAAAAGAAGAAACAGAGAATCGATCTTCAACTAGCCAGAAAACTAACATCGACAGCGAAAATAGCGCTAATGCGGAAACCTTGGTCAGCACAAGAACCAGTACCGAAAAACCTGCAAAACAAATAGCTGGCTCCCCTGTGCCAGAGCAAACGGCTTCCTTGCAACCGCAAGCTTCTTCAGATCCTTCATTGAACCGATCCGACAAGAAGACCCACTCGAAAACGGTTCAACTGGTCAAGCTGCAGAAAACCGAACAGATGCTGAGTCACGAGGGCCATCTGTATAAAATCAAATGGCACAATCGTCGTCGGGTTTACTGGGACTGCATGCTAAGGGAACAGGTTAACTGTATGGCCATTCTGGAAACGCATTCAAATAACTGCCGCTTCTGGAACAAGATTGGTTCCCACAATCACAAGGTTCCGAAACCTATTATCAACGATGATAATCGCGGAAGGTATCAGATGCTCACGAGCGATACCGGTGCTGCCAATGTGAAAAATTTGCCCGGTCAAACGCTGCAGATTAATGATATTGAAGAGCAGGAGGGCCGGATGATGAATTTGGCGATGCGTAAAATGTTCAACTTCAAGATCCGAAAGGTTGACCAGTCTTTGCCGACGCTGTACTTTGCCAACTACGAGTACGAATTTAGAAATGTTGTCGATCCTGGATTTAGGTAAGTAGTTTTTCATGTGTTTACCTTTAATTGATAGCTGGCGCTTGACAAACATTATTTATATAAAAAAGCATCAGAGTGGCCTGTCTTCGGTTACAACTCAGAAACAGACATTGTATAATCCCGCCCTCTACCGTTCAAAGGTAAAAGCTCTGAATGAATTTGATAACAAATATGTCAAACACGAAATAGAGGTTTGCGTATTTGCTCATTTTTTGTGGTGGTTCTAACCTTGCTCAAGCGCAGCGCTCCTGTATTTGTCCCTTGTATTCTGATAGAGTTGCCCATCTTCTTGTTATGCATCTTCGATTGCACGCTTACAACTTTTTCAAGATTATATCAAAGACGTTTAAACCGTTTAAACATACTGAATAAGATTTTTTTAAAGAATTATTATAATTTCCATGCCGAAAATCAATATTTATCAAACATTAATACAATATCCTTTGTACAACACATCTTCTCTTTCCAGATGGAAGTGTACCACGTGCAACAATGTACTTGAAACTGATGAAAAGTTTACCATTGCCCAAGAACAGGGTTCAATACCCCACGACCACGAACCGGAAGTGACCGTCATTAATTTGGTTGATGAGGGAACGTTGGTTGAAGCTGGTAACTCCAAAACGGCAGATGAATCGAAGTCCAGTAGCAGTAGCCAGCAGCAATTGCCGCAGCAGACACCAGCTGACGTTGACGAAACGAGCTCCAGTGATCAAAACAAGACAGTTGATTCGACCAAACAAACTATCCCGGAACAAGAAGATAACGCTAAATCCGATGAACCATCATTTGGTCCAAATTTGCCAACCTCAAAGCCTGACAGTGATGCAGAAGATGATCATCGTCCAAATAGCGAGATGTTGTTAGATAGCTTCACTGGCGAGTTGAAGAAGAGAGCAGAACTTAGAGAAGATGGTTCCGACGACGAGGAGATGGTGCTAGATCCATCCACTGGGGAGTTATGCAAGAGGGGAGATTTGAAGCGAAAAGAATATAGAAAAGCAATATTGGAAGATATTGTGGCAGATGATGACGATGACGAAGCTGAATATCTGGACCCGTTGACTGGCAAATTGCGGCGAAGGGGTGATAAATCGCTTTCTGAAGACGAACCCCTCGACGATGAGGGGGACACTGAAGTGGATGAAAGCACTCCACAATCTGAAACCCGAAATATGCCCAACGAAGATTTCGAAGAATTACTCAACCCCGATCCGAAGGACTCAGCCGAAGCAAAGAAATCGAAAAGACCTAAGAAAAATTCATTGGCAGCGCTGAAGCTGATTCTGACACTTCACAAACAGCTGAGGAAGCCTGATTCGGAGCGCAACTTTGAAGTGCTGCCCTCAACGGACAATGCGACGTGCCTAATCCGGTTCAATGAGTTCACCTACGAGCTGGACACGATACAGGGTAGCTTCTCCGTTTGGAAGTGCCATCTATCGCCACAGTACGCGTGCCGTGGGAAAGTTCATCTCAGTACGAACTGCAGGCAAATTTCGGTAAGCGGCGTCAACCACTGCCACGTACCAACGTTGAAGGACATGTTCATTGATCGATCCAATCAAGAAGGCGGTCAGATCAAAGACACCGATCAGGACAACACCCGAGAGTACACATTCTTCAAACGGTCGGACCACGCGTATCAGTTGAAGTTGGACGACGGGTATCTGTACAATTGTATAACGATATCCAAGACCGGAGTCAGTTGCTGGCGGTGTGCTTCTCGGCAGAGCTGTAATTGCAAAGCCATCATCACGATGGAGGGCGATTTTGAATCAATGGCGAGAAATAGATTTAATCACAGTCACGATCCTGTGCCGTTGGATGGAGCTGCTGTTGATGCTGGCACTGCTGGGGGAGACGATGCTGAGGAAAAGGATAGTTCGTTTGATTCTCAGGTTGCTCCGGCTAAACGGACGAATAAGAATGAAAACGAAGACGACAGGAAGAAGCGGAAACGACAGACGCTTTAGTCCGGCTGCAGATTTTTATTAACGTTAACCTACTAAGTTTTATTTTAAGAAACGATTGTTATAAGTACCTCTATAATTAAAACATAAATGAAAGAATTTAAGGTTTGTTTTCGATACTTTTTTTTCATAATTTGTCTTAACAGGAAATAGGAGGTGGTTGAGTTGTTGAGTAGTTGAGTAGTGCACTTGAATGCCTTACACCACAATCCAAGTCGAGTTAATTGAAACTTTTTGAGACGAAAAACCTCTGACCACGCCTTCTTTCGAAAAAAAAGTAAAGGCGTTGGTCCGAGCCTATATTGTTTTATTGTTTTTTTTTTTACATCAACAGGGTGGATGGCTTAGCCAGAGGGCCCCCCCCAAACCCAGCATCATAAAGGCTTTCGGTGAAATGACATTTGGCCAAATTTTCCATAGAATTTTTTTTTCGCCCCTCTCTAGCTCGAAACCTGGCTACGTCCTTGAGTCCTACTGACGTTAACTTTATCAACTATAATAAAAAAATACATTCAAGCATGGTCATAACATAAAAAAAAAACATATTCGGCATCAACATTTCAAAAGGGCGAAACTAACAATGATGTCAAGCTGTGAAAAACGCTGTCAAAGTTTTCGAAGCGAAAAAATTGATTTATTTTAAATCAGTAAGCAGTGCAGGTCTATTATTAGCACCGTTCAGCTTGAGTTGACCTTTGTTAATCGCTTCATAGAAGTGAGAAGATTTTTATTTTGTGTTTTTAATGTTAAAAATCCTTAAAATTAGATTTTGCCCTTTATATTCATCAATTTTGATTACGCCCTTTCGTTTTTGTACCTTTTGTTTGACAAACTGTCAATTTGGCCCCACTGACAGCGCCTAATTTTTTTTCGGTTTTCAATTGCGCCCTTTTGCACAAATTTTATATCTTGGATTTCTTTCTGTTCGATGATTTGCGCATCCCCACTGCGCTCCCCAACCGCAAGACTTTGGCACACCCTGTGCGATAACAATTCAATTACAACACACAGTCCTTTTCTGTTCTTTTGTTTGACCGAATAAAGTTAGTTGTGCTCCATAGTCATGAGAATCGAGACGCTTTTTATTAGATTGACTATTGATTGTTCGTAGAAACCGAACCCCCAAAATTTACAGTCCACTCGATACCGTTAACAAAGTGGTCCTTCGAGCCGGATCCTGAGAAACCGGTGGATTTCGACGCGGTTTACGTGAATAAAGTACGTGATTTCTAGTGAGGAATTTCGATCCGAGCATCGGTTTTGTACTGCCGTCGAACCGGTGTTAGTGACGCGCTAGCAGCTTGGCTCAAAGCGGTCGCTACATGTGAAAAGTGAAAGAAGAATTCCTATCTGATCCGTTCCGAAACGTTTCCGACGCTAAGGCGTTTTCAAGTGCATTAGTGCCCTTTTCTAAAAATTCGTACAGCTAAAGCGGGATTTTTTGCAAATGGCGGTTTAGTTGTGTGCGCGAGTGAAAAAGAAGATGCCACCAAAGACACCGAGAACGCCTGTACAGCCAGCTACACCTGTTGCTGAACAAAAAGTGGAGAAGAAAAAGAAAGAAGAAAATAAAAGGATGGAAGAGCAGCTCAAGGGGCTAGTCAATCAGAGAGTGGCAGTTCATGGCAAACTGGCCCGTGTTAACACTGCTTTGCAGTACAGTGCGGATCAACCGAATCCGAACATTAGAAACATTCATTTTCTTCAGTTCCACAAAAAGACTGTAGAGAACTGTTATAACGAGTGCAATAGTATTCAGAATCAGATTTATGTACTACCACTCTCTGAAGACCGCCAAGAAGAAGAAACCGAGAGCTACATCGAATTCGAGTCGCTATACAACGACGTTTCCGTTCAATTGTGTATGTTGATCGAGGCGGTGACGAAAACAGAAACTGATCTGATTCTCCCGGTCGGACATCCGAATCCAGTTCCACCGTTTCCAATCCATCCGTATCTCCCACCGCTACAAGTGCCCTTGCCGACATTCGACGGCTCTTACGAAAAGTGGTATTCGTTCAAGTCTTTGTTTACCACCGTGATGAACCGCTACCAGCAGGAGGAACCAGCATTGAAACTGTTCCATCTGCGAAACAGTCTTGTCGGGCAAGCAGCTGGCATCATCGACGAAGATTTGATAAATAATAATGATTATGATGCCGCATGGATGTTGCTTACACAGCGGTACGAAGATAAACGTGTCGTTGTTGACAAACACGTTGAAAATCTATTCAACCTGCCGAAGGTTAGCCAGGAGAACGCAGCGAACATGAGGAAATTGATCGACAGCAGCACCAAGAACGTGGAGGGCTTGCGGCATCAGAACTTACCGGTGGATGGACTCGGAGAACAGATGCTGGTGAATCTTATCGCAGCGAAGATGGATAAAAGGCTCCGGGTGGCCTGGGAAGCCCGTCAGAAGAAGAATGTGCTATCGACGTACGCTGCAATGATAGACTTTCTGCAAGAGCAGTGTCGAATTTACGAAAAGCTCGACGCGAGTATGAAGCCGTTGACGGAGAGTGCTAAACCGAAAGCGATGGCTAGGAGCCATACGCTAGTGACAAGTGATATGAAGAATGACAAGTTTGAATACAAATGTCCAGTGTGTAAGGCAAGCCATGAACTTTGGAAGTGCGAGGCCTACAAAAACAAAAGTGTCAGTGAGAAATACGAAGTGCTAAAAAGGTGCGGCGCCTGCTTCAACTGCTTAGGGAGAGGCCACCGAACCAGTGCATGTGCATCGTCACGTTCTTGTCGGGAATGTGGCAAGAAACATCACACTACGCTCCACGTTGAAGACGCATTTAAAAACGTGAACAGCTCCACTTCCTCAAATACGACTGATTCTTCCACGCCAGTCGTAAAACCAGCTGGAAACCTGATGACCAGCACTACAGCAGGAACGTCAACAACCCTGTGTGCTGAGAATTCCGAGAAGCAGACCCTGCTTTCTACTGCCGTTGTTTTGGTCAACGGCTTGTGCAGCACTCCATATCCATGTCGTGTGCTTCTGGATTCCGCTTCGCAAATGAATTTTGTGACAGAACGATTTGTGAACCTACTCTCACTGAAAATGGTACCTGCTAACTTCACGGTTAGCGGTCTGAACGACAAGAAAACTAGGATTTGCCGTATGCTGCGCACCACGATTAGGTCTTGTCACGCTGACTTCACTACTGACCTAGATCTACTGGTTACCCCACGAATCACTGGTGATCTGCCGGTGAAATCATTCGATGTTTCGGAGTGGCCCATCTCGAGCGAGCAGGTGCTGGCCGATCCGACGTTCAACAATCGAGGACGTGTCGATATGTTAATCGGCGCTGAATACTTCTGGAACCTGATGGAGGATGGCCAAATCGAACTTGGTTCGAATCTTCCAATACTACGAAACACGAAGCTGGGATGGATTGCTGGAGGAATAATCACGAGCGATGCACCTGTCGTTGCGCGTACTTTCTGTCAAACAACTGACGACGACCCGATCATCGATCTGCTGAAGAGCTTCTACAGGGTGGAGGCTTGTGATGAAATTCGCCCATCCGCTACAGCAGATGAAGAGAAGTGTGTCGAACATTTCCGTCGCACACACCTACGAAATGAGGAAGGGCGGTACATTGTACGTCACCCCTTTAACGAACGCAAGCACGAACTAGGAGATTCACGTGAAATGGCGCTGAAACGCTTTCTGCACCTGGAGCGGAAGCTAGACAAGCAACCAGAATTAAAGGAGCAGTACTCGCTGTTCATCCGAGAGTACGAACAACTCGGGCACATGCGAGAGATTTAGGAGACAACGGAGGAACCAGGATCGGTGTACTATTTGCCACACCACTGTGTGCTGAGACCCACCAGTACGACGACCAAATCAAGAGTTGTATTTGATGGGTCGGCTAGAACGTCCTCGGGTGTATCGATCAACGATATACTGATGACTGGACCAAGTGTTCAGAGTGATCTCATCGCGATTTTGCTTCGTTTCCGAGGATTCCAGTTCGTCTTTACGCTGGACATTCCAAAAATGTTTCGTCAAGTTGGCGTACATTGGTTAGATACAAGGTACCTACGCATTTTTTGGAGGTACAACAAAGATGACATCCTGACCGTCCGAGAGCTGCAGACGGTTACGTATGCCTGGCATCATCACCGTTCCAAGCAACGATGGCGCTCAAGCAAACTGCAGTTGATCACAAGGAGGAATTTCCGGAAGCCGCAAATATCGTCGAAAAAGGGACGTACATGGACGACATCCTAACAGGTGCCGATACGCTAGCTGAAGCATGCAAGCTCCAACGAGAAGTGTCGGATCTGCTGGCGAAGGGATGCTTTGGCGCTCATAAGTGGTGTGCCAACCACCCCGATATTGTGAAAGGTGTTTCTGAAGAGCTACGAGGAAACTCGTTCGTAGTATCTAACGAAAATTCGAAGTCGATCGTGAAGACTCTTGGCATGACCTGGGATCCGGTCGACGATTGGTTTTCTGTATCGGTTCCGGAATACGACGTTTTGGATGAAGTGACTCGTCGCAAGCTTCTAAGCCAGCTGGCCAAGATTTTCGATCCGCTGGGCTTCTTCGGCCCCGTGATTACAACTGCAAAGCTGATTCTGCGAGGGGTTGGCGAAATGCAGATTGATTGGGACGAGCCAGTCCCTTCTGAAGTGAGATCCAAGTGGCTAAATTTTCGCACAGAAATAGCCGTCCTTAACAAGGTGCGAATGCCAAGGTGGATTTCCTGGAATGGTGCGTTCAAGCTTGAGCTGCATGGATTTGCGGACGCCTCCGACGTGGCGTACGGAGCGTGCCTCTATACACGAGCAGTTTTTCCAGACGGATCCGCTCAGATGAAACTGGTTTGCAGTAAATCCCGCATTCTACCGATGAAGAGGGCGAAAACTAAGGCTGTCACGACTCCTCGTGCTGAACTGTTGGCGGCCTTGTTACTCGCCAAGCTGACTGTGAAGTTGCAGGACGCTACGGAATTAGACTTCGCGTCGACGAATCTGTGGAGTGATTCAAAAATAGTGTTAGCGTGGATCAGCAAACCACCGAACGTCTTACATACCTACGTTTCGAATCGTGTAAGTGAAATACAAAAACTTACCCCGAATTGCAGCTGGAAATATATTCCTACGGACGAGAATCCGGCCGACCTTATATCCCGAGGAGAGCGGCCGAAAAAATTACTCGAGTCTAAGATGTGGTGGACTGGCCCACCCACATTCAACGGTTCTGTTGTAGAGATGACAGATGTAGTAGCTATTCCGGATGAAGAGTTACCGGAAATGCGTGCTGGCGTAGTACTGGCTGTGACTGCTCTCACCAAAAGAATGCCAATGTTTGACAAGATTAGCGATTTCACGAAGGTTGTGCGTAGCACAGCCTACCTGGTACGCTTTGCGATGTTCATCATATCCAGGAAGAAGGAGTTGTTAAAGGGCCCGCTCACTGCTGAAGAAATAAAGCGGGCAACAATAGTGATTGTACGGTTGGTTCAACACGAAACGTTTCAACCAGAGATTCTCGCCCTGATGAGCGGCACGGACGCAAAGCATCGACTCAACGGATTGAAAGCGTTTTTGGACCCGGAAGACGGCGTGTTACGAGTCGGAGGTCGAATCAAGCGAGCGTTCATACCATACGATAGTCGACACCAGATGTTGCTGCCAGCAAAGCACCCGATCACGGAAGCACTCGTCCGACACCTACATCTAGAGAACCTTCACATCGGGCAGAAAGGTCTACTTGCCATCGTACGACAACGATTCTGGCCATTGAACGTGAAAAATACAATTCGCAAGGTGATTCGAAATTGTATGGTGTGCTTTAGAGCAAATCCGTTGAAGACAACTCAGATGATGGGTGACTTGCCATCATATCGTATCCGACCTGCTCCAGCCTTTTCGGACACTGGTGTGGACTACGCTGGGCCTTTTTGGCTTAAGTCATCGTCTACTGCTCGTAAGCCCTATATTACCAAGGCCTACGTGAGTCTCTTTGTGTGTATGCAAACCCATGCCATACATCTGGAATTAGTCTCCGACTTGACGACGGCCGCGTTTCTTGCTGCTTTGAGACGATTCCACAGCCGACGTGGGTATCCGAAAACAATGCGCTCTGACAATGCAACAAACTTTGTCGGAGCCAAGACCGAGTTGCATGAGCTGTGGCTACTGTTCCAGAACCAATGTTCTACAGGAAAGATCGTGAGGTACTGTACCAACAAGGGAATCGAATGGTCCTTTATCCCACCGCGAAGTCCACACTTCGGTGGAATTTGGGAAGCTGGCGTTAAACAAGTGAAACATCATCTCAAGCGTATTGTCGGTGACCGGAAATTGACTTTCGAGGAGCTGTATACTACGCTGACTCAAATCGAAGCTGTATTAAACTCTCGACCCTTGGCGCCTAGCTCGGATGACCCAAACGACTACACAGCTATAACACCTGCTCACTTCTTGGTAGGCCGCGAGATGCAAGCCATTGCTGAACCGTCGTACTTGCATTTGAAGGAGAACACTTTATCAAGGTGGCAGCTCGTGCAGACCATGCTGCAGCACTTCTGGAAACGATGGACAGCGGAATACCTGCCGGAACTCCAGACTCGATCCAAGTGGCTGAAAACGAACGAAATCAAAGAGGGTTCGCTAGTATTGCTTGTGGACCAGAACGCACCGCCGCTGCAGTGGCCACTAGGAAGGATTTCAGCCGTGCACCCCGGACAGGATAGCGTGACACGTGTCGTTACGGTGAAAACAGCAAATGGAGGAGAGTTCAAGCGTGCTGTGACGGAGGTCTGTTTGCTGCCATTTGTCCATGAGACTTGAAATCGGCATTTCAACGCCGGGGAGCATGTTCGATGATTTGCGCATCCCTACTGCGCTCCCCAACCGCAAGACTTTGGCACACCCTGTGCGATAACAATTCAATTACAACACACAGTCCTTTTCTGTTCTTTTGTTTGACCGAATAAAGTTAGTTGTGCTCCATAGTCATGAGAATCGAGACGCTTTTTATTAGATTGACTATTGATTGTTCGTAGAAACCGAACCCCCAAAATTTACAGTCCACTCGATACCGTTAACACTTTCGTTTTCTTTAATTTAATATAATTCAAAATTTGAATGGTTGTGAAAACAAACAAAAAAGAAATCACCACCATCATCTAGGATGGAATTGTCAAAGTATTAATTTTACCTCCCAGCGGTAATGAACGCGCAAAAATCATAGAAACTGAACATGCTAGATCAAACCAGAGGCCACTTGTGTGCGGGTGCTTTTCAGTAAGAAACTGCTTCTAAGTGGTGCCAAAGTATCGAGGGAATGATGCTGATTGCGTTGGTTTTATGTTTGTTTCATCCATCAGAAATCAGCTGGACCTATTGTACGTCGGCAGCAGCGAATTGACCCTGCAGCTGGTTCTCCGTTTGCGACGATTGATGGACACGATTAGAGTCGGTGTATAATGAGTCACGCCAAGAGAAAAACAGTTGAACTCGCATCACGGTTTTCGAAAGATTCCTTTTATTTTCACTTGGCAACATCAACTTCAAATAACTTCTGGCGAGAAAAAAAAAATAGCGACTGTAGTAAATCATTATATCAGTGATTTTGTCAAATTATCTTAACAAAAAATAGTAGAAATTCTCATTACTGATCATTACCAAACGTATGCCATGATAATTTAATGCTCACCCTAATAAAAGAGTACCATAAACTTACGATGTCATAGATGGTACGACCATACCAAATAATGTTGGGATGATATCCCGAATTGGTGGTTAGGCGCTTCTTATGGTTATTGTTTATGCGGGCACTGCGTGTTTATGATCTTTTCTTCGATTATATTTTATATTTTATTGCAATACCTTTCGTGAACCTTTCATAGCATCGTAATGTTTGTTTACTTTGCACGATAGGTAGCCGGTTTGACAGTTCATTAGGTAGACTTCCCTAATAAAATTCGTATGGTTATTTTGCTTAACGACGTATTTGGGGTATCATCCAAACCATTTGTGGAACAGTTCGACAGTTTGGGTTATCGTTCGTTTATGGTATTTCTTTATTAGGGTTGGCTTCACTCTTGGTGTGACTCATTATACACGATAACCGAATCGGGTTCTAGGGTTTCCAATCTTGAGGTAATTTGAGTTGTGGGCAATTTTGTAATATTCATTGGACAACAAGAAAACAAGACGAAGCGCATCACGGGAGAGATGAAAGTCGAAAACAGATGCAACTCTGTTGAATATTCTCTGCACCCTAATAAAATTTGTATGGTTATTTTGCTTAACGACGTGTGTTGTGGAATAGTTGTACCATTTGGGTTATCGTTCATTTATGGTATTTGTTTATTAGGGCAGTCCGCAAATCACACCGTATGCTCCCGAGTATGCTCCATAATTTGTGCGACGTAGAGGCTGTCTTATAGTGAATTTGTTTATTATCGTGGTTGGAACCAGTTCCGAATTTTTTGTCAGTGCGAAGCTCAACCTATAGGCACCCTGGTTTTAGCGAAGACAACATATCAAGAAGACTGGCAACTTTGCCGGAATCCAAGCGACAGACACAGTAGGGGGTGGAAACTAACCGGTATGAGACAGGCACAATTGCGTCATCTGCCGCTCAAAGGTAAATGCTTCGAACGAATTGGATAGCAAAGGTTCCTTCCTCAGAAGAAAGGTTTGGGTATTTGCTCATTTTTCAATGCGTTGCTTCCACCTTCGCTCGAGCGCAGCGCTACTAACAATCAATACGAAACTAACGATTTTAAATTGGCTTACTACTTGACTAGCCTATTGGTCCCAAGCAAACGATTAACGTACTCCATTCTAGTCAAAATTCTAGTACTACACAATGTTTGTTTTGATTCGCTATGAAAGTTTGACAGATAAAATTAGGGGTTAGTGGATTTTCATATGTTTCGAGGGGTGAATCGATTAGCTTGGGACCGAAGAGAGTACCAGAGCCGAGCCAAAAAGTTGAGCACGTTATTTCGGGACCTTCTAGTCTTAGAGTTACCTCTATGGCACTACCATAGAGGTAACTCTAAGACCACTGGGTCCCGAAGAAAATCATTATTATTTTTGGCTCACTCAGTACCAGAACAACGGTCCCAAGCAGTCCCAAGCTATTTCACTCACCCCTGCATGTTCTGCATGAATCCACACACCCCTGATGTTATCTGTCAAACTTTCATAGCGAATCAAAACAAACATAGTGTAGTAATAGAATTTCAACTAGAATAGGGTACGTTAATCGTTTGCTTGGGACCAATAGACTACTAAAGTTAAAATCGTTAGTTTCGTATTGATTGTTGCTACTATTGGATTGAACTAGCATTTTCACCAAATGTACTAGAATATTTTGGTTCTATCTCACTCTACTCAAAACTGAAATGCATAAAAAAATGACAAAATGATACGCACTCTTTGCACACTGTCAAAGAATCATTGTACACAAAATCAACTTTGTTCAAATCAAAACAAAAAAACTAACCCATCTGGTGGATGATGGCTCAAGCTTCCAAGAAAATTATATTACAGTGAACCACATTATTTAAATGGATTTCTTCGCCAGTAAGTCGTCTATCACTTCGTTTGTGATCCCGACGGTGCAGCTCTCTATAGAGATTTTTGACGTTTAATCGGCGCACACTAATGCAGCATTTAAATTGAGAGAGTGCGAGCAAGAGGGAAACAGATTAGTGGGAAAACAAATCATCCATTTATCCCTGTGTGCTAGATAGAGAAAGACAATTAAACGTAAAAAAGGTCTATAGAGCAAGAATAGCGCTGGTGTTCTCTTTGTTCCGATGTTCAATAATACCGGGTACAGAACTGTCAAACTGCATAGTTTTTTCTCGCTTTGACAGTTGTGTCTCTATTGGCATATCAAAGTTGGCACTCGTGTAGAATAGAAGAACTAGAAATACTCTTTCCTTTATTTAACGTCGGTCTCTGTTCCGTAATCTAGTGCCAATCACCGACGGACATCGATTGCCATCCATTGACGGCAATCGAATGTGCAGGAACGCAGCTTCCACACCTGCATAGGATACCGCACCCATTCAACACACATGGGCCGGGACCAACGACTTTACTTCCCTTCCGAAGGAAGACGTGACCAGAGATTTGTATGCCTCAGAAAAAGCCCACCGACCTCGACTGGGATTGAACCCAGACCCATCGGGGTGATAGATAGCAGTCACGCTTACCACTACACCACCGGTGCCGGCAACTAGAAATACTCAGAGGGAGAGATGGGTGGAGATAATGTTTTGAGCCAAATGAACTGTCAAAATCTGAGCCAATCGAACATTCCAATTAGAATTTTTCCGAGAATTTCTTATTCTTTCTAGAATAAATTTGAGAGTATTGCAATCGAACAGAAATTCAATCACCTTTAAGTTTTGTGTGCTTCTCAAATTCAACTAGTTTTTGGAACCAAAAACAATATTCTAGCTCTATTGATTAATTGATCTTCGTTGGTTAATGAATGGCACCTAGAAATGTGCAAAATATTGCAATGATTGCATTTATTTGCACGTAAATCGAATCAAAAATAAAAGTCATTTGAAATGCTAGCTTCTAGCAAGGGTTGCAAGATAATTTAGGAACAAATCCCTGCTGCCGAATTTGTATTTTGTTTTCTCCGCCTATCTCTCCCTCTGAGTATTTTTAAGAAGAACTATGAAAGTGATGATGGTTTCGAAATTTTACACGGTGAGGTATACGAATGCAATCTTAAAATGTATTTGCTTTGCGAACAAATTATTTTAATAAAATCTGGTTGATGCTACACGCAGAAAAAATTACCATCGAAACAAAAATATTTGAGGTAAATTTAAACGTAAACTCAGTTTTCTCTGGCCACAAACATAAACTAGGTTGATTTCAAACGTATTCCATGTTTGAATCCATTGATAATAATGTTTAAAACAAAAATAATGTTACGTTTATTTTAAAAATATTCGTGTTTAAAATAAACGTTAATATTTTTGTTTGATTTGACAACTATATGTGATCAAAAATAAATATCTTTATTTTAAAAATGCTTTTCATGTTTAAAATAAACAAAAATATTTTGAAATTATCTTAGCATTTGAATGCGGGATAAAACAATATAAAATTAATAGCAAATAAATGGAAATCTGCAGACAGGGCATCTCAATTCCTGTGATAAAGGAAGGTCTGTGGGTGTTTGGATCCGGGTCCGAGATCCAAGCGGCCGTCGGGGTGGGTGTCCGGGGGTTCCAGTTCAGTAAAACCGGCGATATTAGCGTCGTTTTGTCGCTTCTGACGCTGGTCCTCATATCGGCCTCTTTCTACGTTTGGTGTTGGGGGATTATCTGTTTTCTTTCGACGTCGGGTGGGGGTGAGGAGGATATGGGGATTGATATCAGAAACGACGGAGTTACGTTGATATTGTGGGGTTCCACCGGTTTTGTCGGACGTACTTCCGGGTGGGTGCGTGGGTTCCCGGACCATCTCCTTCGGTTTTGCCGCTTGCAGGCCGTTTTCAGTTGAGTTTGCCGAATGCAAACAAGAAGGAAAAAAAGGACACGCTAAAAATTGTTTACCCAGATTATGTATTGTTGAAATAAACATGCTTTTGAATTTAATTCAAACATACATATTTTTGTTGAAAACATGATTTTAATTTACTTTGAACTATTCATATTTTTATTTAATAAACATATATATATTTGATTTAAATAAAAAAAATTTGGATCCGTGTACGTTAGTAGAAAACTTAAGGGCTACGCAATAGACATATAATATATACAAAATAATTTCTATTCAGATTTTAATTTATGTACCTAGATTTCAGCTTTTCTACCACTATAGCAGCAACCAGATTTAAATAAAATGCTCCATTTGCAAAATAAAAGCATTTTAAGATAGCACTCGTATACCTTCCCGTGGAAAATTTTGAAAGCATCATTACTTTCATCACAGACAAACAGACGTAACTCTTCATTGTGTATCTTCGTTCATGCATTTAACGGTTGATTTGAATATAATCAGTTCCGCGAACTACTCGCCGCAGCGCTGGCATCGGATCACTTTGACGTTTCTATATATTCTATAGAAATTTTATGCAATATTGTTTACGAGTTAGCGAGCAAGCTTGTTTTCCGCGAGAAGCCAGAGAGATGTCGTTACTGAGGTTATATGTTTTGAGATACTATGTTTTCAAGAACAAGTTTTTCAAAGAGTTACGTCTGTTTGTCTGTGCTTTCATAGTTCTTTTATTCTCCACGAGTGCCAGCTTTGATTTGCCAATTAGATCATTAGATGTAAGGAAAAGATGTTTCGACAGCGACGGCAGCGCTATTCTTGCTCTATTGTCAAATTTTAGTGAAAATTCAGCAAATGGAACACAGCCCTAGAGCAACCGTAACGGTACGCTGCTAAACTCATTTTAGCAGCCCTGATCATAGCTCAGTTACCGTCGCGGGGGTTGCCATATGAGTAACTAAAATAGCAGTCGGCTTCTCGGTGAGAAGCGCGTTACCAAATTTAGCAGCGCGGGAGAAAGGTTGCTATTCGTAGAAATGTCAAAATGCTCACTACCGGTACGGACTACGGCGAGTAAATTGATAACCGCGATAGCAGCGACCGGTGTAGAGAAGAGTGACTACACTAAAATGAGAGCGTTGTGCGCTGTTAAAATAGTCGCGCAAATGACAACGACCGTTACGGTTGCTCCGAGGGTTGCTCTTACTACCCGAATAAACGGGTACCATACACTAACGATATCATAGATAGTATGACCAAAGAGGTAACGCCAATAGGCTAGTCAAGTAGTGAGCCAATTTAAAATCGTTAGTTTCGTATTGATTGTTGGTACGACCATATCACATAAAGTTGGGATGATATCCCTAATTGGTGGTTAGGCGCTTATGGTTATTGTTTATGCGGGTAGGCTTACTAGCGACATCTGTTGCAAAAATCAAACACGCTTTAAATCCATTATACATTGCTAAAACCCGCAAGGTGTTCCTTCAAGAGGGATAGGCCCTTTTCGGTCGCCAGCCGCACTGACATTTTGTTCGCATTTTATTTGACAGTCGCCGTCCGTTTGACAAATGCGTCACGAAAACGATCCACGAACGAAAAGAGTGCTTGGCAGCTTCGATCGCGATGTCTGATGCGCCCAAGCCTCGCTCTGCTTTTTATGCTGCCAACACAAGCCAAAAGAGTGAGTGAGTGAAAGAACCTTCCATCCCTAATCCGAAAGTGTCGCAAACCCACAAAAAATAGGGAAGCGAAGCGGTCGCGAAGTTCCGAACGACATTTTTTTGACAGTTTTTTCAGTGTTTGTAAACACATTAAAAATCAATATCCTTTTTTTGAAAAATCCTTCCGGTCAGGCGAAGAATTTCGTGAAATATTTGTGTGTCGCAAGCTGCAGTGGCAGCAGTACATTTTGGTGAAGGAGGAGGAGAAGGCATCAAGAGTGTTGGTCTGGGAAAATAGTGAGCAGCTATTAGATGTGAAGTTTTTTTTTTCGTGTTTCTTGAGGAGTTTGATTCGCTTTCTCGACGGCCAACGTGAGCATTGCGATTTGGTGTAGTCGGGTTTGCTGTAGCTGGTGTTGCTGCTGCTGCTGCTGCGGGGAAGGCGAACCTTGAGAGCCTCGCGTTTTTGTGTTCCTCCATACATCTCTTCTTCGTTGTCGCAGCAGTTGTCGTATTCGAGACATTGGTGTTGCGGTGGATAGTATATTGTGCCAAGGCTTACGGCTCGTGAAAGGGCATCGACCGAGACGGACGGTGGTGCGACCGTAAAAGGAACAACCGCAGCGAATGGGTTAACAACGTTAGCCGTAGAGGAGTTCCAGAACCAGGAGCAAAACAAAACAACACCGCTAGAAGAATGGAACAACTGCAGATACAAACGACGGAACTACCGTTCTGTCGGCTATGCTTCACTCAAGGTATCGAACTGTACGAGATCTTCCCAGGCGCAGGCAATGACAACGAATCTCTGCTCATCAAGATTATGGACTGCGTTACCGTGGCCGTGAGTATTTCACTATTATTGTTATTATTTTTCCAGCTCAAGAAAAGTTGTAGGCGTCCCCAGTTGCGTTCCGTAAATCGCAAGAAATAGCCGTGATTATGCTCTGATCCAGTTGTTGAAAGCTGTAATAAGCGTACTTGGATCATTAATTGATTTGTTACTTGATTTCGTTGATTAAAATACAGTTTTGTTTAGTAGTAAGGATATCGTTTTTATCGAAGAAATTTGTATGGCATAGCATTACTAAATGAGGTCACCATCTCATCAGACCTGTTCAGCTTATGAAGCAGATATCTACACTTCTTGTCTAGTTCGTTCAGCAAATTTTAAGTTATGGGTATTTCGTTTGATCCATTCCTGATGGAAGCACAGGTGATGCATACCTTGTTTTGATATTTTGATTTAGTGCACTAACTTTCTTAAATTCTAGCCGACTGCTTATACTCTTCAACCCTGTAAACAGAATCAATCACGCGCTTCCAGAGAAATGAGTTCTTGCGAACAGAATACAAATCGAGTCATCCGTGGGGGAAAAGGTCTTCCTTTGTCCACGAAGTTTTAGCTCAGAGAGTTAGCAGTTCCACTCACTCCGTTCTAATCGGTTCATTCCGATACCTTGATGATCCGTGTTATTTCACCCTCTCTTTCCCATTTTTGTTTCCTCTGTTCGGGACATAAATCCACTGAGACCAGTCATTTGGTCTATTGTATTATACCCCGTGTACATAGTTTAGTGCATGTCGTATTACTCCATTACTATTGAGAAATGATGAAGTATTCGGTTCGATTACAGTTGTCATTCTTGCCTTCATCAGAAGGAACCGATTCTAATAGAAAGGTCCCGCTATTTATAACCTTCGTAGAGATAGAGTCCCCTACAAAGGCGCACTCCTTTGTCAGTCAAAATTGGACTCCTTAGCAACAAAATTAAGCACTTACACCGATATTCCCAATGCATCCTTTCCCATGGTAGTGCAGGTGATCCACAACTTTATGGTCCGTCAAGTTACCATTAACGAAACATCCATAACATTTGTCAAATAACCAATAACGAAACATCCATAAATGACGTAGATTTTTGTGAATCAATTTTAAACCAACCCTCCCGTCTCGTAACGTATTTGGCTAAACTTTATACATGGCTGGTCACAACTTCTGCCTTCCCCACATCTTCCGTACAATGCTACGTCATTTATTGCTCGCCCCTAAGTAGTCAGTTCTTATCAAAGCTTTTCCGTGTGCTCATTATACTCGTCCATATAAATTCTTCACGGTAACCGCAAAATACTCAATAATCACTATAAACGATTCGATATTGACTACAAAGTAAGCATTTTCGAGGGAGACTGGGACTACCCATTTAATGAGTAAAAAAATGCCCATTTATGAGTATTTGTTAGTCACAAATGAATACTTACTACTTATTTTTGTCGTTATAATTACTCATAAATGGGAGAAGTTTTACTCATTTAATGGGTAGTCCCAGTTTCCCTCGAAAGTGCTTACTTTGTAGTCATTATTGGCTATTTTGCGGTTACCGTGTTGAGAATTAAACTGATCATTTTTGATTGTCTGGAACATCTTTTGTTGTAGTACCGTATGGGGGAGATAAACCAGTCTGTGGCTGAAAATCTCTATTATAAAGACAAAAAAGTAAGAGGTTGTATCCAAGACACGACCGTAGATTTGACGTAGGATTACGAAAGGTAGTTATGATGTCACAGTAACGGCACCGGTGGTGTAGTGGCAAGCGTGATTACCTCTCACCCCAGCAGGCCTGGGTTCAATCCCAGTCGGCGCCGCCGGGATGTTCTGAGGCATAACATCTCTGATCACGCGATAGGTAGGGTCCAGGTGTGGGAGCTGCCTTCCTGGCACGTCGGTAGCATTGGTGCTCAGCACGGAAAACAAGATCGACGGAAAAAACAAACCAAAGGAAAAAAAAAAAAAAAATGATGTCACAGCAAAAGTATAGTAAATATTAAATTGATTTCTTAACTCGTTATCAGTGAAAAATTTCGATTGGTTGAAATTCGGAAGCAATTTGAGAGTTATGTTTTTGAGGTGCTCTGTCGATGTCCAAGCCAATCCTGGACGATACGTCTTGGATACAAGCTCTTACGCTTTTGTTAACTCTTTTATCAGTCATTTCAGGCATAACATTTGATAACGGCACAAAAGCATTTGTAAACAAACCTTCTACAGTTCTTTACATGCGAACCAAAGTACGCCCACGCAAACCAATACCACCTTTGGAAAGATGATAGTTGGTGCTATCCGATGATGTTGTAGGTTTGGATCAACCTGGTCTATACAAGGTGTGGAATTGATGGCCTGTACGTATTGGTACAGTTCGTTTTTCACTCGGCTTTCAGTCGGCTTCGCACGATTTGCCTCTTTCGTACGCTCAAACACGCTCGTAGTTACGTCATAACGTTTGTTTCAATCAGCGTTTGCGTTGGAAATTGAATATGAATTATAGAATTTCTGTATGAAGCCAACATTTATGAATGTTTTTCCACTGAATGTTGAGATAATGTAGATATTGATTATTTTATTAGCACACTGTATACCATGAAAAAGCAGCCTGCTGGTGAGTTTTTGCACGTTTCCAAGTAAGGGGTTACTATAAAAATACAAAACGCCTGCTGATATTTCCCGGATACTTTACAAAAGCATACAAGCAAGCGCAATCAGCATGCAAACATATCTAGAATTTGCTGTACTTCATATTTCACAAATTTGTTTTCGACTGCTATGACGTCGTGGTAATCCTCTCCCGCAATGTTTACCTTTTTCCCTCTACCAACACATACGTGAGGGCTAGATCTCCACACCTTGTATAGACCACGTTGGTTTGGATGGGCGTACTTTGGTTCGCGTTCAAAGGGCCTTAGAAAGTTTGTTTACAAATGCTTTTGTGCCGTTATCAAATGTTATGCCTGATTTATGGTCCTGAAAAGGATCGATGGGTTGAAAGCTTGGAAGCCAGTGTAGAACAATGCTGTGGATTTTTTTCCTCGATGTTCTTGGAGATGATAGCGGTGCGGAAATGAAATATGTATGGGAAAACACACCAATCACAGAATCTGAGCCTAGCGGACGGTCCTACGTTTATGCTTTTTGAGGCAAATTTTAGGCCCCTTCTATTAAGAGAAGGAGGCGCTTAAAATTGGCACCAAAAGGCATAAAGATCGGTACCGTCTGGCATGCTCAGTGCTTGATATCAATATTCGGCGACTGTGTTAGGGAAACCACTTTTACCATCACGGAAACGCCTCGTTTTCTGATGACAAATAACACAAAACGTACGGAATTTTTGTTTTATTCAATAAAAAAAAGTAGAAGGGGCTGTGCCTAGGGGCACGAACGGAAGCTTGACGTAGGACCGCTAGTGGACGGAATAAATATGAAGAACATTTAGTTCTTTTAAATGATCAATCATCTATTATCTTAACTCTTTCCGTTTTTTTTTCAAAGAGAAAATTGATGAAGATAATCAATCAAAATCACTTGCACCCCTGCTTCCAAGTTTGGTTACAAGATTACAACTCTGGATAGCATTTTGTGTGGTCGTTGGCTCTGAATATGGACAAACAGGCACAGATAAATTCTATTCCAACTCTTTACTGTTATAAGCTTGATGGCCCTGAAAAGGGCCGTTTTATTGTAGAGGACATCCATGGCCATTTACGCTTGGCGTGTTTAGTGTAGGTGACAGCATCACGGACCTCATTTTCCAGGAACATCTTCAGCACACCTCGTAGATCAGACCGGAGATACGTTTGACACCACCACGGCGAGCCAGACGATGGAACAACTTTGCGATGACGCTTGGCGCCTCTTTAACCAAGACCTTTTCCTCCTTTGACACGACCAATAAATTGTTGCTTGTTGAATGTAGAAGAGTGAACTACCACCACGCCGTCCGAATCGAAAATGAGTTGATTTGACTTTAAATGATCTATATTTCTTGAATTTGTGTGGTTTACATACATGTATGAATTTTCAATCGACACAGATGCGTCTTTTCAACTCCTAGTCTTATCAGGCCTGTTTTAGAGTATGACCACCTTGATGGGATTGGTTTGATTTGAATTGGAAAAAGGAGACTCTTTACTTATAACTACTATTTACAACTACAACTACTATATACACCTCCCTTAGCTAAGTAGGTAAAGACGTAGCTACAAAGCAAGACCATGCTGGAGGTGGCTGGGTTCGATTCCCGGTCCAGTCTAGGAATTTTTGGGGTTGGAAATGTCTCGACTTCCCTGGGCATAGAAGTATGATTGGACTTGCCACACAATTATACCAATGCAAAAATGGTAAAGGCATCGAAAGCTCTCAATTAATAACTGTGGAAGTGCATCTAGAACACTAAGTTGAGAGCACGCAATAAGCTAATATGCGATATGCAAAAGCTTGAAATGCGAAGAAGAAGAAAAAGTACTATATACACCTAATCTACTATATACAAATTCCTTATCAAAGCATGTTCTGATAAATTACATTTTTGTGCAAATTTGGTCTTAATTTCGTTAATTCTGGAATCTATTTTGGCAATGCCTACCTCTTCGTGTAAATTTGTTATTCTAGTGTCGAAAGGATGATCAAGTACCATCCTCAGCACTCTATTCTGAGCGACCTGGATTTTGTTCCTGTGAGTCTGTGCACATAATTCCCACACCGGAGCTGCGTAAAGCATTGCAGGTGCTATGATTTGTTTGTAGACAGCCAACCAGTTTGTTCACCCTTGACCAAGGCGGAACACTTGACTACGGTTTTTCTCCACATGCGATCGGAAGAGGAGCTTTTCATCGAACAACATCCCGAGATAGGTTACTTCGGCAGACCACTCAACCCTTGTGCCATCCATGATTACAGTAGGAGCCGGTTTCAGTTTCGGCGATTGCCGATGGAGGAACATGATCGCTTGTGTTTTGGAGGCATTGATTTTGATTTTCCACGTGATGGCATAATCAGCAAAGGCGTTAAGG